TAACAAGTGCCTTACTAGTAGTAACAAGAAGCTATTAGAAACAAGTGAGAATGCTTCGGTGCTTCGGTGTTTACACATACAGTAGTGACTAGATCCGCTGTAACAAGTCGAACCATTCGGCTGCACACGTTGCTTGACCTGGAGAGCCTGCGAATCCTTCAGCTGGTTCAAAGTGTGTTGATCTTCTCTCTGAAGGCAGGGGTCCGTTCATGACCATGTAGCAGGACAAGCACAATGACGCCCTTTCAGCATTATGACTCCGCACAAAGGCAAGGCAAAAAAATAGACCCATCATGCCGAATGCATCCAGATCATCCAGCCCTCCCATTTCAGCAAGCTCTCCTGCAGCAACAACCATCAGATCGTTCTTCAAGATGACTCTGTTGTCCGTGGTATCACTGCCTGGGCTGTCGTGACAATGGCCACATGGACCGATTGCAACCTTGCCCCGCCCCAGCTCACTACAGCCAACACAAACTGTAGGAGCAGCATTCTTGGCATTTGTGCTTGGATAAGGCAATTCCTTGTAAAAGCATACGTTCACCGATCAAAAGATCAAATCCATTTCTTGTCATCTCCCATTGCACCTCATTGCTCCTACCCTACAACTTCCTTACAAGGAGTTTCCGCAGAAAGGCGACAGAAAGCACTCAGGAAGAGCTCTAGTCATTTTTGGAGGTGCTTTTTGTTAGGTGTCAGTCTAGTCATCTTCAGTCAGTAAAATCCACACGGTTGACATTCCTCACATTTTCACACTTCTGACCAAGCGTCGCGGGCGAGTGTGGAAGCAAATGCCCCCCGAAGACCCAGAGCAGGATGTGAGCTGAGCCGTTCGGGTGCAGCCAGAATGACATCTTCTCAAGGAAAAAGCTAATCATGGGGGCTAATTCGTGGCTAAATGGAAGCAGGCAACGACAGCCGTCCGTTGGAATCCTTCAAAAACATGTTTTGGGAGATGCCCCGCCCTGTCACTCACAAGATTGAGCACGTTTGCAAATAGTTTATGTTTCAGCAATCTTGCTGTAAAAATGTAGTAGGTTGGAGGCCATCGCTATTAGGTTGAAGGCCATTGCTATTAGGTGTGCAACGCGTTCAATTCATCGAAGGCACTGATTTCACCTCCCAGGTATCGGGCCATGTTCCCATGGCCAAACTCGTGGCCTCAGCTTCAGCAGCTTCAGCTGAAGTGCCAAAAAACAAACACAAAGGGGTGGCATGGAGCCAAAAAAAGTGCTCCTTGACCTAGCAAATTCACTTCTTGGGGTCATGACCTAACTACATGCCTTCGTGAGCTCGTCCATATTCACGCGCTCTTTCATTGGATCGGCCAGAAAACGATAGGCCAGCGGCCATGCCACAAAAACCTTCTCCAAGCCGAAAGGCTATACACATCCAGGAAAAGAAACACAGAGTAGCCTCTGAACAGAGGGATTCTTGTCTTGGTGAGAACTTTGTAGAAAGTTTTGTTGGTTGCGTCCTTCTGCAAGAAAGATGGCCACTTAGGCAAGTCCAAGAGACAAAGAATGGTCAGCAGTAAAACGATTTCATCCAAGGTGGCACGCACCACCTGGCTGACAGATTGAAGCCAATAGCACCAATAGCAATGGCCTTTAACCTAAGAGCGATGGCCGCCAACATACTAGCAATGATTCAAGTAAAGAGCACCAATATAGCTAAAGTCTCTCGACCACTTCGAAAGGTCTAGGAAACCCATTCCGCAGGACACTCCAGGAATCAGTCTCGACAACTTTGACATGTTGAAAAAACCATACTAGACGACGAGTGGCCCGAAAGCATTTTTCATCACGTAGGAAGTCAGAGTGCGAGTTATCTGTTAAGTGTGTTATAAGTGTTCAGTGTGAAGTGTTAAGTCGAGTGTGTTGAGGCACTGTGTGGGTCTCTGTGTGTGTGTGTATCTATGTCTGTGTGTGTATGCGTCTCTCTCTGTATGTCTTTCTGAAGCGCAGGAACACCTGTCTTCTGCAAGTTCTTCACCTCTCGAAAGTCGCCTCCGCGTAGTAAAGTTGTACTACAAAGTCGCCAGTTCTCATCTTCCAGCTCTCCAGCTACTCCGCGTACTACAGTTGTACTACAAAGTCGCCAGTGCTCATCTTCCAGCTCCACAGATTGCTCCGTGTACTAAAGTTCTACTACCAAGTCGCCAGTTCTCATCTTCCAGCTCCCCAGATACTCCGCGTACTCAAGTTGTACTACCAAGTCGCCAGTTCTCATCTTCCAGCTCCCCGGATACTCCGCGTACTAATGTTGTACTACCAAGTCACCAGTTCTCATCTTCCCACTCCCCAGATACTCCGCGTACTAAAGTTGTACTACCAAGTCGCCAGTTCTCATCTTCCAGCTCTCCAGCTACTCCGCGCACTACAGTTGTACTACAAAGTCGCCAGTGCTCATCTTCCAGCTCCCGAGATACTCCGCGTACTCAAGTTGTACTACCAAGTCGCCAGTTCTCATCTTCCCACTCCCCAGCTACTCCGCGTACTAAAGTTGTACTACCAAGTCGCCAGTTCTCATCTTCCAGCTCCCCAGCTACTCCGCGTACTAAAGTTGTACTACAAAGTCGCCAGTTCTCAGTTCTCAGCTTCCAGCTCCACAGATTGCTCCGCGTACTAAAGTTGTACTAGAAACTCACCAGTTCTCAGCTTCCAGCTCCACAGCTACTCCGCGTACTAAAGTTGTACTACAAAGTCGCCAGTTCTCAGCTTCCAGCTCCACAGATTGCTCCGCGTACTAAAGTTGTACTAGAAAGTCGCCAGTTCTCAGCTTCCAGCTCCCCGGCTACTCCGCGTACTAAAGTTGTACTACAAAGTCGCCAGTTCTCAGCTCCCAGCTCCACAGATTTCTCCGCGTACTAAAGTTGTACTAGAAAGTCGCCAGTTCTCAGCTTCCAGCTCCCCAGCTACTCCGCGTACTAAAGTTGTACTACAAAGTCGCCAGTGCTCATCTTCCAGCTCTCCAGATACTCTGCGTACTAAAGTTGTACTACAAAGTCGCCAGTTCTCAGCTCCCAGCTCCACAGATTGCTCCGCGTACTAAAGTTGTACTAGAAAGTCGCCAGTTCTCAGCTTCCAGCTCACCAGCTACTCTGCGTACTAAAGTTGTACCACAAAGTCGCCAGTTCTCAGCTTCCAGCTCCACAGATTGCTTTCGCGCGCTCGACACGCACGATCTCCGCAGAGGGTTGCGCGGGCACCCGCCAAATCGCACTCTCGCCTGCACTTCGCGCACTCGACACGCACGATCTCCGCAGAGGGTTGCGCGGGCACCAGGCAAATCGCACTCTCGCCTGCATTTCGCGCACTCGACGCGCACGATCTCCGCAGAGGGTTGCGCGCACACCCGGCAAATCGCACTCTCGCCTGCATTTCGCGCACTCGACACGCACGATCTCCGCAGAGGGTTGCGCGCACACCCGGCGAATCGCACTCTCGCCTGCATTTCGCGCACTCGACACGCACGATCTCCGCAGAGGGTTGCGCGCGCAGCCGGCGAATCGCACTCTCGCCTGCATTTCGCGCACTCGACACGCACGATCTCCGCAGAGGGTTGCACTTTCGGTTGACGCTGTTCGTCCCGCACTCCGCCTTTAAGAGAGAATTTATAAAGTGGGGAAATGTTTTTTCATTAGGACATCTCCCGTGCTAGTTTTCCATACTCACACTTGCCTACTCATTGCATGCTTGTATACTCATTGCGTGCTTGCATACTCACCCTTGCATATCATGCTTGCATACTTACACTTGCATACTTTGACACTGGCATACTTCGCACTTGGATGCTTTCGCTCTTCCAGTGTGTGTGTGTGTGTAAGTGTAAGTGTCGAAGTGTAAGTGTTCAAAGGATTTTCCGGAAGAACCCTTCGCAATGCTTTCGGGAAAAAGCCACTAGAAAACAAGCAGGCTTCTATGCTTGCCTAGGGCTCCAAGACCATATAACTACCCTTGCAAATCAGAAACAATAATGCCAAAAAGAAACAATTGTGTCTTTTCCGGTCACAGCAGCCTGCCACAGGATGATCTGATCGCTGCCGCCTTGCTTTCCAATACTCACGAGCTCGTACCTGAACCAGAAACTTCTGGTCGGTCCCGAAGGAGACACGCTAGTAGTAACAAGTGCCACGCTAGTAGTAACATGTGCCTTACTAGTAGTAACAAAAAGCTAGTAGTAACAGATGCCTTACTAGTAGTAACAAAAAGCTATTAGGAACAAGTGCCTTACTACTAGTAACAATTGTAATTACTCACGAGCTCGTACCTGAACCAGAAACTTCTTGTCGGTCCCGAAGGAGACTAGCGGTCCGGCCCACTCTCCAGTACTTCAAATCTATTGACTCTGTCTCCTCCGAAACTGAGGTCCCGGACACAAAGAAGATGGCTACCTCAAAGAGGAAACACGACGAAACGAAGAAACGGAACGTGTTGGAGTTCTGTGTCTTGGAAAAGTGGTTCAACGAGCTGGTGAACTCGGTGCACTTCTCAGATACAGGGAACAGCAACTTGACACCCATCAGTGACGCCCATTAGTTATGATTAGTTTTAATTCTAATTCTGTTGAATTCTTGTTTCTAGTAGCGTTCTTGCTCCTAGTAGTACGGCCAGGAGCCCCTAGTAGCTTCTTTGCTCCTAGTAGCGATGCCCTTTGCTCCTAGTCTCCCTTTCAGCCCTTTTCAGGCAGTTTGGAACTTCCAGTGCTCTGAGGCAGGCACAAAGTAGGACATTTTGATTGGAGCTCTGCAAACGGTCCCTACATGGAAGGACCAGTCCTGCACAAAGGACTGAAACCGAGAGCACAGAAGGGAGACCAGGTATCTGTCAAGTTTCACTGATAATAAGGCATGATAAGGTGATGCATGGTGATGCTGATGAACTTACAAGGTGGGCAGCAAATGCTTCAGAAACAATGTCCACCTCTGCACAAATGTGTTGGTCCAATGCACAGGGAAGATGTGAGTTGAGGCGACCTGTAGCCTCGTTCAACTAACCAGGCCTAACCAGGGGCTCCTGGCCTTACTACTAGGAGCAAGGACGCAACTAGGAGCAAAGGGCATCGCTACTAGGAGCATTCTTACTATATACTAGTAACAAGAAGCTTCCTTGGGAATCATTGAATCCGCCTGAAGAGTTTGCCATTTAGCCAAAAACCCGACGTCCACCTCACCTGTGAGGTTTGCTGCCCCTGGGCACCAAAACCCAAGCGGTTCATGGCGCCGGCGCTGGAGGTGAAAATTCAGCACCAAGCGCGTGTGAAAATTCTAGAATCCTCTCGTGCAGTGGCTGTCTAAAGGGAAGAAGGGAAGTGGCGCGCCGTTGGCAGGAAAATCACCCATTTCGGTTGACTCACATGAAGCGAGCATGCATCACGGCACTTTTAATGATTGCAA